TCAAGGAGGTGATAGTAAAATTATGTGTGTGTGTTGTCCCTAATAGCCCTGCCACCCTAGGCTGTGGCCTATGCTGGCTATGTGAAATTCTGACCCTGATCATTACCCCACAGAACCCCCTAGAACTTCGCATTATTTTAACATGTGTAATTTCAGTGAACATTTAATCAAATGAGTGCTACATTTCCCATGTGAAAATTAAATGGTCTTTTGTGTGTTAGTCTGATTTTCCAATTTTGAAAGCCTGCAAATGTTACCAAGCCCTTGTGAGTTTTTGTGCCCAAGAGCAGCCTCTTTCTCTGCTTTCTATGGGGCTGATCTATGCTAAACCATGGCAGAGAGTAGGCACGTATAACATGTTTTCTTATTTTAAAAAAATACACTTTACAACCATTTTAAAGCTTTGTCACTAAACCCACAACAGTAAAATCAATCTGTATATGCAGTAAAGCATGCTTGTTATACTCACTGTGGAACCTAAGAGGTTAATCCTCTGCATTGTGTAGAAAGGCTGTTTGATCTTGACTTCTCTGATCCTCCCCTTCCAGTGCCCCCCTCTTATCTTCTGATAAGACATGTTGTGTGGAGTCACTCTGCACATGCTCAGTTTGGTGTGTATTGCTAGAGAGGTTTTTTTTTTCTTGGGAGAGTGCATGTGATCAGCACAGACAGAGGTCAGGGGTCCTGCATCCTCCCAGAGCAAAATGAAAACTCCTCTTACAAGCTTTAACATGTGCTCTGCTGGACACTGATAGACGTCACAAGACTGCTCTAACTGCTGATGAGAAAAGGTATTTAGCAGTTTATAATTTACTAATATTATTACATTTCCATGTTCTGTGTACTGTAGGAGACCAGATATAATGAATACGCTTAGTAGAATTGATGGCTTGTGTAATAGTGTCCATTCTTTCTATATACATTAGAGATTTTAGCTCTCTCTTCACCAAGGTTAGTTTGGGAGCATTTGGTGATGTCCAAGATTTTAGAATCGCTCTACGAGCTGTCAACAGACACAATGAAGTCCATTTTTTGGTATCATGGTTAGCTAAGAAGATCCTGACGAAGGTGAAGGTTCAAAGAGTTAAAATAGGCATATCATGGGATCTTTTTCAATTTGTATCCTAGATATAGTATATATGTAATTGAGGATTTGGTCCCAGAAGACAGATATCCGAGTACAACTCCACATCGTGTGTGGTAGAATGGAATGTACTGCACCAAGAGCCAGTTGAGGCTGAGGAGTCCGACTTATCAATCAGAAAAGGCATAAAGCACAATGTAATATTTTAAATTGGGTTTCCCTTCAATTTTCGCTTACGATTAAACTGAGAATTTTCCAATAGCCTCCAAGGAGTTTTTCTTGTAATGCCTCATCTTGAAATTCCTTGGTCCATCCTTTTAATAACATATGTCTTTGTGGTGTGGTTAATTGATAGTTTAGTGGAGACTAAAGATCAGCTATTGAATATCTTTGATGTTTTATTGTACGATTTGTTAGAGATTGCTGAAAAGGATCTTTTTTTGAGTTATAGTAAGACCTGACATATTTGACTAGATGGTTGTAGAAGTGTCTATGGTAGTTGGAACTCTTGTTATCAGTCTTGTTGGGTGAACAGACAAAGTAATACAGGGTTGAAGTTACTAAAGTGGAACTTAACTATACCACAAACTTAAAATTCTGTTTTAAAAAAAATCTAATATTCAAAGCAAACCCATCCATCCATTCATGTCTCAAGGCTTTGTTTTGTTGAGAAATCATTTTTAAAAATCAGCCTTGTAGCATTTTTACCCATGGCCATCTTGAGTAAGGGCAGATAATTCATGTGCAACCTGGGATGTATGACATCATTTTCACCTGGCCAGAAACCAGGAAGTAACTGTACAAATGTAGAAAAAAAAATTACATCAAGTGAATATACTATACCTTCCTATCTATTTACTAATTCTAGCACCATAGGGAGGAGTAGATCGGCCTCAGCTTGGATCCTCCCCATTAACAGAGATCACATGGAAAAGTGTCACCCTTGCATTAATCCTTATTTACTCATCCCAGTTGGACTGTTATATTTTTATATTAAAAATATGAGTATTTTAATTTGAGTTGACTTTTATCAGTATCAGCTTTCCATAAAACAGTAATAGTAGTAAAAATACCACAGAGCTTTTATCTCAAGGTTAAAGCATAATCTTTACTCTCCAAAAGCAGCACAATTAGAGTATGAAAGTTTCCCTTATAGTCCCTTTTGCATTTCCTGCCCTAAAAGGAATATTATGTTACTTTTCACATGTGAATTTACAGAAAAGAGTTTGCATAAATCATTTAGCTCTTCTGTTGAAATTAGTACAACAGAATGCATTCTAATTTAAACCACTCATACATACAAATGAAAAACACGTGATGGAATCTTTTCAGCAGTTATCTGTCACTAAGCTTTGTGGTATTATATGTGTATATATTTTATATATATACTGTGTGTATATACAGTATATATTTATATATATATATATATATATATATATATATATATATATATATATACGCACACACACACAGTTCATTCATAAAGTATTCAGACTCCCTTAACTTTTTTCAGTTTTGTTGTGTTGCAGCCTGATACTACAGTTGTTTAAATTAATTTTTTTCATCCATCTACACTCAGCACACCATAATGACAAAGTGAAACAGAATTTTGGAAATGTTTGCAAATGTATGAGAAAGGAAAAACTGAAATAGCAACTTGGCATAAGTATTCAGACCCTTTGCAACAACACTTGACATGTAGCTCAGGTGCCTCCCATTTCTCTTGGTCATTGTTGAGATGTTTCTACACCATGATTGGCGTCCACCTGTGGTAAATTAAATAGATTGGACATTATTTTGAAAGGCACACACCTCTCTATAAAAGGTTTCACAGCTGACTATGCATACTGTATCAGAGCAAAAGCCATGACGTTAGAGGAACTGCCTGAAAAACTCAGACAAGATTATTGCAAGGCACAGGCCTGGGGAAGGCTACAAAAATTTCTTCTGCACTTAAGGCTCCTAAGAACTTCTCAAATGGAAGGAGTTTGCCACAACCAGGACACTTCGTAGAGCTAGTCGCCTGGCCAAACCGAACAATCGGGGGAGAAAAACCTTAGTAAGAGAGGTGACCAAGAACCCAATGGTCACTCTGACTGAGCTCCAGAGATCCTGTGTGGAGATGGGACAAAGTTCAGGAAGGACAAACATCACTGCAGCCCTCAACTGATCTGGGTTTTATGGCAGAGTGGCTAGATGGAACCCTCTCCTCAGTGAAAAACACATGACAGCCCACTGAAAGTCCTTCAAGTACTTTTTTGCAAACTCCAAGAAGGTTTTCATGTGTTTTGAACTGAGGAGAGGCTTCCACCTAGCCACTCTACTTATGCCAATGTGATATTTTAGTTTTTCTTTTTCATACATTGGCAAACATTTCTAAAATTCTGTTTTCACTTTGCCATTATGGGATACTGAGTGTAGATTAAAGAGAAAAAAAATTTAAACAACTGTAGTATCAGGCAGCAACATAACAACGTTTCCTGTAAGTCTTCACAAGGCTGGTACACACTGTTGCTGGTATGTTGGCCCATTCCTCCATGCAGATCTCCTCTAAAGCAGTGATGTTTTGGGGCTGTCGCTGGGTAACACGGACTCTCAACTCCCTCAAAGGTTTTCTATGGGGTTGAGATCTGGAGACTGGCTAGGCCACTCCAGGACCTTGAAATGCTTCTTACAAAGCCACTCCGTTACCCGGGCGGTATGTTTGGGATCATTGTCATGTTGGAAGACCCAGCCACGTTTCATCTTCAATGCCCTTGCTGATGGAAGGTTTGCACTCAAAATCTCACGATACATGGCCCCATTCATTCTGTCCTGTACATGGATCAGTTGTCTTGGTCCCTTTGTGGAGAAACAGCCCCAAAGCATGATGTTGAAACCCCCATGCTTCACAGTAAGTATGATGTTCTTTGGATGCAACTCAGCATTCTCTCTCCTCCAAACACGACGAGTTGTGTGTGTTTTTCTACCAAACAGTTCTATTTTGGTTTCATCTGACCATATGACATTCTCCCAATCCTCTTCTGGATCATCCAAATGCTCTCTAGCAAACTTCAGACGGGCCCGGACATGTACTGGCTTAAGCAGAGGGACACGTCTGGCACTTCAGGATCTGAGTCCCTGGCGGCGTAGTGTGTTACTGATGGTAGCTTTTGTTACGTTGGTCCCAGCTCTCTGCAGGTCATTCACTAGGTCCCCCCGTGTGATCCTGGGATTTTTGCTCACCGTTCTTGTGATCATTTTGACCCCACGGGGTGAGATCTTGCGTGGAGCCCCAGATCGAGGGAGATTATCAGTGGTCTTGTATGTCTTCCATTTTCTAATTATTGCTCCCACAGTTGATTTGTTCACACCAAGCTGCTTGCCTATTGCAGATTCAGTCTTCCCAGCCTGGTGCAGGTCTACAATTTTGTTTCTGGTGTCCTTCGACAGCTCTTTGGTCTTCACCATAGTGGAGTTTGGAGAGTGTGACTGTTCGAGGTTGTGGACAGGTGTCTTTTATACTGATAACAAGTTCAAACAGGTGCCATTGACACAGGTAATGAATGCACGACAGAGAAGCCTCTTAAAGAAGAAGGTACAGGTCTGTGAGAGCCAGAAATCTTGCTTGTTTGTAGGTGACCAAATACTTATTTTCCACCATAATTTGCAAATAAATTCCTTCCAAATCAGCCAATGTGATTGTCTGGATTTTTTTTCTTATTTTGTCTCTCATAGTTAGGTCTACCTATGATGCCAATTACAGGCCTCTCTCATCTTTTTAAGTGGGAGAACTTGCACAATTGGTGGCTGACTAAATACTTTTTTGCCCCACTGTAATATGTATGCTCAGTTTTAGGTTAACATTTATTTAAATTATTGTGCATAAGCTGTTATATCACACCTTTTCCCTGTGTTTCTTTTCTTTCTTTTTTAGCTGTTTGCTGATGTAAAAAGTATGGATACTTGCCAGTTGTTCGAACAAGGGATTCGTACACCTAATAAGCAAGAATCCCACACTTTGGAGGCTGTGAAATTGGTAGAGTTTCAGCTGAAGCAAACACTTTCTAAACTAATAACGCATCTTTTTGGAGAAGGTATGTGTACTTCCACAAATACAAACAGGGGTTCTGAACATTTGATGATGGCTGGACAGACCAACTGGAGAATGATTGTTCTGTAAATGTATACTATTAAATATGCTCACTGAATATCACATGTCTGCAGGTTAAGGCACTGTATAGCAAACACCAAAATTAATCAACTTTTATCCCCAAAATCTATCAGTTAAGGGTACCTTTACAGTCTCAAGGTACCTACGCAGATTTTAGTCATTTGCCTGTCTTGCCAATCACTTTACTGTATATCTGTAAAAATGTTAGTTGTCTATGACAAAAAGGGAGAGACAATATATATGGACTTTGTAGGCACAAATCCAACACAATTGTTTGTTAAAAGTTATACAGTTCATTTACCAAAACCATAAAAACACCATATATATCAAAGGACAGTAAAAAAATGCTTTTATAGAATCACTAATGATGGAGCATGGTTTGGTTCACCCCCTCACAGTAAATGTATTCACAGTTTGTAACGAGAATGGCATTGACAGCTCAAAACCCTTCCATAGACTTCCAACTGTTGGGGTGCTCCTATCCACCAGTGATTCAGTTCTGTACATGTTTTGTGACCAAACATTTCTTCTTCAGGAGATATTAATAAAAGCTTGACCGATAGGTCAACTAGGCGTGTTTGAGCAAAGGAACCCATGGGACGGCGACTAGGCCAGTCTACGTGCGGATGTGGAGCCACACACAGAGCTATTATAATTGTTGAGAAACTGACATCAGTGAGATAGTTTTGTAGCAGTTAGGCAGCCTATCCTCCTAAAGAGATGTCACTGGGACAAGCTTGACTGATGCATAGCCACACTGTGCTGGACAGATTAACAAGCCTATGGCCACAAATAACCCTGTTGGTATGATTGGAGGAATGACAGATACTTAAGGAAGGACATTGCTATTGAGAACAAGGGGTGCAGTTTGCTTTCTGTGATGTTCTATTACAGAGTCCTTTGCCAATAAAGATACTAGTTGTTGGATCATTATTATCAAATTGTGACCTCTATGGGAAGGTGGTGGACGAATACTGTTGGCATCCTTCTGGATAGCCCTTGTATGCTGCCTAACTGCTAGAATATTATCTCATTGATGTAAGTTTCTCAACAATTATAATAACTCTGTGTGTGCCTCCACATCCACATGGAGACTGGCCTAGTCGCCGTCCCACGGGTTCCTTTGCTCAAACACATCAAGCTTTTAATAATAGCTTCTGAAGAAGCGGGGTTTGGTCGCGAAACATGTAGAGCATTGCATCTCTGGTGGATAGGAGCACCACAACAGTTGGAAGTCTATGGAAGGGTCTTGAGCTGTCAATGCCATTCCCGTTACAAATTGTGAATACATTTAATACGAGGGGGTCAATCAAACCATGCTCCATCATTAGTGATTCTATAAAAGCGTTTTTACTGTCTTTTGAAATATATGGTGTTTTATGGTTTTGTTACATAAACTATATAACTTTTAACAAACTATTGTGTCCGATACATGCCTACAAAGGCCTTATATTTTGTCTCTCCCTTTTATCACAATTATTTAGAATGTGGCATAAGCTCTAATACATGTATCCACGGTTGCCACCTGGTCGTTACAAAATATAACACTTTAATATTAATTGTCTATATTTGTTACAGGTGACCTATACTTAAAATATAATTAATTAACACAATTTAATGTGGTAAACAATTATTTTAAAAAAGTACTTCTAGAGTTTAATTCCTGTCAAGAAGCTTCAAAGCATTTCTGCACATGTGAAAGTGCCTAAACACATTACCTTTATAGCATAACATAGTTTTGAGCTCTTTTTAGAGGCCTATGATCACTAAATAACAGTGATGGCATCATCGTGAAGGGAATTGGGGGTTAGTAACAGGAAGAGCTGACCAGTGATACACTATATTGCCAAACGTATTGGGACACCCCTCCAAATCATTGGATTCAGGTATTCCAATCACCTCCATGGCCACAGGTATATAAAATCAAGCACCTAGGCATGCAGACTGCTTCTACAAACATTTGTAAAAGAATGGGTCGCTCTCAGGAGCTCAGTGAATTCAAGCGTGGTACCGTGATTGGTTGCCACCTGTGCAATAAGTCCATCTGTGAAATTTCCTTGCTACTAAATTTAGTAATTTTTAGCTAATAAAGTTAGTGGTGTTATAACAAAGTGGAAGCAACTGGGAACAACAGCAACTCAGCCATGAAGTGGTAGGCCACGTAAAGTGAAAGAGCGGGGTCAGCGCATGGTGAAGCGCACAGTGCACAGAAGTCGCCAACTGTCTGTAGAGTCAATAGCTAAAGACCTCCAAATTTTGTGTGGCCTTCAGATTTGCACAAAAACAGTGTGTAGAGAGCTTCATGAAATGGGTTTCCATGGCCGAGCAGCTGCATCCAAGCCTTACATCACCAAGTGCAATGGAAAGCGTTGGATGCAATGGCATAAAGCATGCCACCACTGGACTCTAGAGCATTGGAGATGTGTTCTCTGTAGTGATGAATGATACTTCTCTGTCTGGCAATCTGATGGATGTGTCTGGGTTTGGCGGTTGCCAGGAAAACGTTACTTGTCTAATTGCATTGTGCCAAGTGTGAAGTTTGGTGGAGGGGGGATTATGGTGTGGGATTGTTTTTCAGGGGTTGGGCTTGGCCCCTTAGTTCCAGTGAAGGGAACTCTTAAGGCGTCAGCATACGAAGATATTTTGGACTATTTCATACTGCCAACTTTGTGGGAACAGTTTGGGGATGGCCCCTTCCTGTTCCAACATGACTGCTCACAGTGCACAAAGCAAAGTCCATAAAGACATGGATGAGTGAGTTTGGGGTGGAGGAACTTGCCTGCACAGAGTCCTGACCCCAACTCAATAGAACACCTTTGGGATGAATTAGAGCAGAGACTGCGAGCCAGGCCTTCTCGTCCGACATCAGTGCCTGATCTCACAAATGCGCTTCTGGAAGAATGGTGAAACATTCCTATAGACACACTCCTAAACCTTGTGGACAGCCTTCCCAGAGGAATTGAAGCTGTTATAGCTGCAAAGGATGGGCCAACTCAATATTGAATCCTATTGACTAAGACTGGGATGCCATTAAAGTGCGTGTAAAGGCAGGCATCCCAGTACTTTTGGCAATATAGTTTAGCTTGTGATCTCACTAATATTTTGTCTGCCTCACAGCCACACAGTGCTGCAGAATGGGTGATTGAGTAGATCCAGGTAAGAGAAAAGCTATAGTATCATACTGTCAATGCTATATTATTCTTAATTGACTTGTTTTATACTGTTTGTAATAAAAGGTTGTAAGACTGCATCTACTTTAAGTTTCTAAGATTAGTTGGTTCACTGGTTCCAGATCATTGTTAATATTTTCTAGCAAATTCTGAAATACTAACCAGTCAATTTTTTGAGAGTTAACGCACTAAAATTCAATAATTCATGTCTTTACTGGCAGAGCATAAATAGTGATTGCACTCTGTTGGCTGCCGACTATTAAGATATAATGCATAGTACACACACAGGAAGTGATGTTACTGATTTCCTGTACACAAAGAAAGTGAAACGTAAGAGGAATCGTTTTAGAGTTACCCCACAGCACACACAACTTACTCTAGTATCCATAGCAGACACAGATCTGCGACACAGAATACTCACCTTATCCCTTCATATGTCATCATATCTGTGATCCAGTGCGCAAAACTCACTCCCTAAAAGTAACACGACCAGTTAAGTATTCTCTTTCTAAACACATCTCACTGAAGGGTATCCAGGCAACTAGTGAAGTAATCTACTCAGCATATTCTGCACATGCAGCTCTGTTGTCACTACTATTGCCACTAAGTGAGGTTTGAATTCCAGCATGCATGCACTGCTTACTCTCTGTTATCCATGCTAGAAGTGAGATCCAAGATGTAGCACACAATGCTTACTCTCTGGTATCCATGCCAGTAGTGAGATCCGAGGTCCAGCACGTATGCACTGCTGACTCTCTGGTTTTTGTGCTAGCATTGAGATCTGAGATCCAGCACACACTGCTTACTCTCTGTTATCCATTCCAGTAGTGAGTTCTGAGATCCAGCACACACCGCTTACTCTCTGTTATCCATTCCAGTAGTGAGATCTGAGATCCAGCATGCCCTGCTTACTCTCTGGTTAGACATGCCACCCATGAGATATGCAGTAAACCGCTTTTCCCCCCAAAAGTCATGTCACCAGTTAGGTCAGTTAAAGATCTTGTATGCCAGTGAGCGATATCCACTTGTACGACCGCTCACTGCAGGGAATCCAGTGATCCTGTGAAATCTGCCCCCCAGCACACTGCTCATATTCAGGTATCTAAGCTACTGATTAGATTTTTTTGCCCAGCATACACACACCACTCACTCCACCATATCCATGCACACATACAGTACCTCACTACCAAACATTCAAGCCATCTGTGAGATCTGCACTTTGGCACACACTTCACCCCCCAGTTTTGGGGACACCATTAAATTCTTCAATCCTGCTAGCACAGCTTATTCCATAATATCCACACCACTAGTTAGATCTTCTCCTCACCCAGCACAGTCCAACAGTGACATCTGAAACTTAGTACATCAGTGGTTTATATAGTAAACTTGGTGTAGAGCTATAAACCCTGAGGTCATCACAGAGGACAAAGGGGCACTCAGTGAGATCTGCTCCTCAACACATGCAAATATCTATGGCATCTTCCACACCATGAAGATCTGCCCACCAGCACACAGCTCTTACCCCAACGTGCACACACATGGATTACTCCAAGTATCAAAATCATTAGAGAGATCTGCACTTGAGCACACAACTAATTCCTCTGTATTTAAACTCTGTATTTAAAGCTACCAAAAGCGAAATCTGCAGTTCTGCCCAAATATATAAGAAAATAAAAAATTTGGAATTGTCGTTTGTTTTGAAGCGACTGTCTCACCTTTGGAATTAAATCCCTTTCCCTCCCAAATGTCCCCT